CGCCCTGGAATTAGGTCGGGCATGTCCCCCTATGGGCAGATTTTGGAGGAAAAATGACATATAGTCAACAAGTATTCCCAAATAGTCAAAAAAACCGTCCCCAGACTATTTTTTGACTATTGAGTATTCCTGCTGTTGGGGGACGTGCCCGACTTACGCAGAGGCGCCCTGGGACCCCAGAGCCCCCAGGCGTCGTGAAGAAACCTCCGCGGAACTTTTTTGAAAGAAGAACAAGCGGCATAAACATACAAACTTCTGGCGCTCCGCGCAGATTTCTTCGATCTGCGCCGACCCCCCTCCCTGGCGCGCGGAGCGCGCCAGGGGCGGCGCTGGAGGGGACCCAGCGGATCAAAGAAATCCGCGCGTAGCGCCACAAGTCTATGTTTATGCCGTTTCTTCTTCTTCTTCGAATTTTGGACGGTCTTCGGTGCCCATGGGTGCTGGACCTCACCAGGCCCCGGGGGCCGTCCACAGAGAGAATAAGCAGGCCCCAGGGAAGGGGTCCAGACTGCCAGGGGTTTACGCCAGGGGCAACTCGCAGCGTCGGGGGCCTGGGGAGTCAGGTCGAACAAGGGCGGAGGACCCAACTCTAGAAGTTCGGGGAGGTTCCGAGCCTTGGGCTATGGGCCGATCTTTGGGACGGAGCGGCGGTCAGGAACTTTTGCTTCGCGTGTCGAGGCGGCGGCCCTGGCGACACACTTTGTCCTGCGAGCGGATAGCGTGTCGCTCCGCTCCGCGGGGCGGGAGGCCAGGAGAGGCTCTGGACGTTGACGCTCGAGGGCTGGGACGTGGCTGGCGTCTCGCGCCGAACTGTGGCGGGCCAGAACCAGCGGAGCGACACGCTGTCCCAAAGCCCCCGACCGTCGAGGAAGCACCTGTGAGGCACGGGAGGCAAGAGAGACACATGGGCGGGAGCAGGAGGAGCCCCGGCGGCGGAGCCCTCCCACAAACTCTGCCGAAGGGAAGCGCCAGATCCCAAGGGAACCGGCTGAATACAAACGAAGGATTGCAAAAAAACGAAGGATTGCAAAAAAACCCTTCGGTTTTTTTGCAATCCTTCGGATTGCAAAAAAACCCTTCAACGAAGGATTGCAAAAAAACCCTTCGAAAAAACGAAGGATTGCAAAAAACGAAGGGTTTTTTTTGCAATCATTCGTTTTTTTGCAATCCTCCGGCCGCACCATCCGACCGCTCCGCAGGTCAGCTCGGGCCGCCTCTGCGGGGCGCCCCGCCGCCGACCTCTGGGCGGCCCCAGCCCGCGTTGCCGGGGCGCGGCCCCGGCGCCCGCCCGCTCCCCGCACCCCGTGCCTGTGGAGGAGGGCGCGTGCGGAGGCGGGGCAGGATCGGTCAGCATCGGATCGGGAGACCGGGCCGCATCGAACTCTTTGTCGGATCGGGCTGCATCGGCACGGAACAGGAATCGAATCGGATCGGCTGCGCCAGGATGCACAACGGCGCCATACGAACATCGTGCCGCATGGGATCGTCGGGCCAACCATAGCCGACAAAGGACTGGGCCGATTTTTGTCTCTTCGGGCCCTCGTGAAGGTCGTTTTAGAGCCGTCTTGGGGCCCGCTTGGGTGCTCTCGGGGGGGTCATTAGGCATTAAGGGCCTGCTGGCGATCTTCTGGGTCTTTTTGGGGCGGAAGCCTCGAAATGTTGGTTCGATTTCCCCCTCCAGGCCCCTCTTGGAGCCGTCTTGGATGGTCCTGTGCCTCTTGGGCCCTCTTGGGGACCTCTTGAGCTGTTTTGGGACTCTCCTGGAGGCCTCTGGGGCCATCTTGGACGCTGCGCACATCAAAACAACGAATGTGTTCGGAATGTACGGCTTCCGGCGGAAGTATGTAGATTTTTGCCTTTTCGGGCTCTCTTGAGAATGTTTTTGGAGCCGTCTTAAGGCGTCTCGGGGCCCTCTTGGGTTCTCTCGGGGGTATCCTTGGTGGCCTGCTGGCAGTCTTCGGGGTCCTCTTGGGGCGAAAGCCTCGAAATGTGTCGGGGGCCCCTGTTGGGGCCCTCTTGGGGCCGTCTTCGGCGGTCCTGGGTGCCTCTTAGGCCAGCTTGGGGCCTTCTGGGTGGCCTTTTGGGTTGTTTTGGGGCTCTCCTGGGGGCCTCTGGGGCTGCTTGAACGGTGCGCACCTGAAAACAGCGAGTGTGCTATAAGTGTGCGCTTTCCTGAAGAGGAACGGGGCGATTTTTGCCTCTTCGGGCCCTCGTGCGGGGGGCCGTCTTGGGGCCTTCTGGGGGACCTCTTGGGCTGTTTTTGGGCGCCTCTGAGGCCATCTTGGACGCTGCGCACATGAAAACAACGAATGTGTTAGGAATGTACGGTTTCAAAAGGGATTGGGTGGATTTCTGCCTTTTCGGGCATTCTTGAGAATGCTCTTGGAGACGTCTTGGGTTCTCTCGGTGGTATCCTTGGTGGCCTGCTGGCAGTCTTCGGGATTCTCTTGGGGCGGAAGCCTCGACATGTGGGTTCGAATTCCCCGCCCGGGGGCCTCTCTTGGGGCCCTCTGGGTTGTTTTGGGGCTTTCCTGGGGGCCTCTCGGGCCGTCTTGGACAGTGCGCACATAAAAACAGCGAGTGTGTTACATGTGCGTTGTCCCACAGAAGATATGGGGCGACTTTTGCGTCTTCGGGTCGTCGTGTGAAGGTCCTCTCGGAACTGTCTTGGGGGTGCCCTTGAGGGCCTCTTGGGCCGTCAAGGGTCCCTGTGGAACCCACCCGGAATCTCCAAGGGGGGGGGGGGCAGGCTCCGGGAAGGAGGTGGGAGGAGGTGGAGGAGGAGGAGGAGGAGGAGGAGGAGGAGGAGGGAGGAGGAGGAGGGAGGAGGAGGAGGAGGAGGAGGAGGAGGAGGAGGAGGAGGGAGGAGGAGGAGGAGGTGGAAGGGGGGATCCACTGTATATCAAGTGCCCTCGGTGTGCTGCGGCCCGGGGGCCTCCGGGCATGGGCATCCAGTACAGGAAACATCTTCCGACGTCGTGGCTCTAGTACAGCAGAAGCTCAACCACAAGAACCCCAACCCTGAGATCCCAGGACGTCCATTGAGTTTTTGTGTGGGAGCGTCACGCTTTCCATGGCAAAACCATGGCACCCCAAGAAACCCATGGCACCCTGGAGGCAAGCAGGGTATTTCTTGGCATGGGTCTCCACTGTAGCTACAGCCCGTCCATGTCGTCGGCATCCCTAAAGACGCCGTCGACGATGACCCTTTCGCGCATGGTCCAGCCCTGAGAGGCCGCTGACGTCAGGGCCTTGGCGTGAGAGATGCGAGATGGGCAAGCTCGCGCGGGTGATCTTGTGCATGTGGAAATCGAACGGGCTGGACGTCTGGGGCTCGATGAAGACGAGGCGCGCCGCGTCTGAAGTGCGAACCGCGCTTCCCGCTGAACATCACGGGGCTCACGAAAGTGCCTACACTTGCGCAGTTGGCAAGGCCTAGGGAAGGGAATCATAGTTTTGACCTGCATCTGGCCGCACTTCGCTGGCCCTGCCGTTTACCCACGGTTGTGCCGACAATGGCGCTGATGACATCGCCCAGGAAGAGGAGGTCTGCGTGTGGTCGCGCACCTGGCAGCGCCCAGGGAGGGGAGAAGTAGTTTGGATCTGCGTCAAACCGCACTCTCCCAAGAACTCACGCAAATGCCGACACCTTCGCTGATGGCAACACCCGTTAGAACACACACACACACACACACACCGCTAAACCTCAAAGAGGTTCACGAAAAGGGCGACAGCCCCGAAATTGGCACCGCCCGTGGAGGCGAGGTAGAAAGTACAGTCGAGGTGGATTGGAGAGGAGACGCGAGAGGACACAAGACCCTTCCGAGGGCCACATTGCCATAGGAATGTAGAAGGCATGGGTCGCACAGCACAAGGACACAAGGGCACCCTTGATTTGGCAGGGCCGACCTACGAACCAGCCTCGACTGTAGGAGGCAGGAGGGGAGCAGCAGTGCGCTATTCACAAAAAGAGGATCCATGCAAGGAGGCTTGGGAACACGGGAGCCGCGGCTCGTTTTGAAAGCGCGATGTGCTCCAAGAAATATAGTCTGTCGTCGGACCGCCCGCCGCCATTTAAAGCACGGCCGTGCATCAACCGCCTGGCTCATTGGGTCATCAGCCGTTCCTCCCCGCCTGAGTTGGGCGTCCGACCTGGCGGAGCGCACAAGGGGGTAGAGGGAGAGGGGAAGGCTTCTTAGAAGGAGGCTGCTTCTTGGACGGCGCCGGTCGTACACCTATAGACATGGCGCGCGCCTTCTGAGAGGCTGATGTGCTTCTAAGACGCCCCCCCCCCACAATTGCACAATATGAATACTACTCTCCTCTCTCCCCTGACTCTGTCCAGAGAATGTCCCGCCCTCTCCGCGTACTGTTTCCACACACATGATTTCGTTATTCCTGTGTGTTTTTTCAACCCGGTCGTATCTGGTTCTTCCAAAATGGCGCTCCTGCTGCAGCGCCGCCCTCATTTCCGCGCTTCGGTCATTCCAAATCGTACCCGCTGCAGCGCTGGCCTCGTTCCCGCGCCTCTGGACTGCACTTGGCATTCGCTTGGCATTCGAAAGCGCCCACATCGGACAAATACTCTTGCGGAGGACATGGAGCGGGCATTCCGGACAGGCCCTGTCCTCTCGTAGTCGGGCCCCTTACCCTCCAAGTCATCTGGTGCCATGCCACGGCATGCAATGCGACGCTGTGTTGTGCACCGCTGTGCGATGGCATGCTTTGCGTTGCTATGCTTTGGGATGCAATGCTTCACTACGCAATGCCACGCCATGCTATGACATACTATGCTCTGCCGTGCTCTTCTGCGCCATGCTTTTCCATCCATCGCGTACCCTCTTGGGACGATGGCCCCGCTCGACATCCGACCGTGCGAATAGATAGCAGATCGATGCCATGGTAAGGGATGGGAGGGAGGGGTAGGACGTCAGGTGTGACGCTAGCGCACCTGGCCTGCCCAACCCCCCTCTGCGCGTGGCCGAGACCTGGTGGCCCCGTCAGCGGCGCCTGGAGTCGGACCTCCCCCGGCGACGCGACGGGCTCCTCCGGCGCGAGTTCCCGCGACGCCCCGACGGGCTCCTGCGCCGCGAGCGGCTGCGGCTGTCCGAGCGCCCTCCCCTGTTGCCGTCTTCGCGGAGCTTGTCCTGCACCATCTCGTTGATGAGCCTCTCTGCGTGCATCCTGCCACCGGTTCCCATCTTCGTGCCCTCGTCCGCGGAGAAGATCAAGAGCCTCTCCTCCCCACGCCTGTCCAAGGCCATGAACATGTACGTCCCCGTCTCTTCTTCGACACGGCGGAGCTCGCTGCCGCGGTTGCCGGTCACCCAGCCCTTGCAGTTGTCCGGGATGTGCATCTCCGTGCAGTCGTCACGGTCCGCGACGTCGCTGACTGTGGGGGTCCCACGGCGCTGGTGCAGGAGCCACTCGATGAACTCCTTGCACCGCTTCCGCTCCTTCTTCGTGCCCGCCATGAAACACACATGGCCCACGTACTGCAGTCCGCAATCCTGCCCCCTGGCACGTCCAGGCGTGGCAGAATGCCAAGTGCTGCTCGGTAGAGTTCCTGTGAGCCTTCCGAGGGTCCCCCCCCTCTCATCACGTCCAGTGGGGAACATCGCCCATCATCGCCCTCCCCCTCCCCATCGCCGAGGCTCCCTCGACCGCCCCGACGCCTCACTGGTGCTCGCCAAGGTTGTCCGAGCCTTCCTAGACGGCTGGGGATGGCCCCGTCAAGATGGCCCAGCATTGCCTCAAGATGCACACACCAGCTCCCAAGAAGGGGCTATTATTAGGTCGGGCATGTCCTCCTAAGGCGGATTTTGGAGGAACAAAATAAAAGATAGCCAAACATTGATAAATTGTGAAAAATTGTCGAAAAGTCGTCCCCAGACTATTTTTTGACTATTTTTAGATATTTCTCCTGTAGAGGGACACGCCCGACTTAAGGCTAATATCCCGAGAGAAGTCCAAGAGGCTCCCAGACACCCCCAAGACGCTCACCAGGAGGCCCTCGATAGGCCAAATTGATATGCAGTATGCTTTTCAAAGAGTTTTGCATTCCAAGCTCGCTTTGGTCGAAGCTCGCTCCACTTGAGGTTTCGACAGCCGAGATCCAAGATGGCCCAAAGACAGCCCAAAAGGGTCTCAAGGGAGCCGTAATACTGCCCCACAGATGCCCAAGACAGCCCCAATGTGTCCCAAAGAAATCCCATGAGAGATCCCCAAGAAGGTGACACATGTGACGGCCTTCCAGGCGGTGATCGGAAGACGCCTCACAAAATGCTTCGCTGGCACGGTGGCGGATCTGCCGTGGGCAACTGGATATACATCCCGACGCGCGCGCCAACTTCTTGCGCGTCGTGCCCTGCTTCCCGAGTGCGTAGCTCAGTTCGTCGTCCTTGAAGATGATCCGGTCGGTGGCCAAGCCCCTCTCGTCCGAGATCTTCTCCCGGACCCCGCGCGTGAAGTGCCCCGGGGCCTTTTCCTCCACGGAGCTCATGACCTTCAGCTCGGCGCCACGGCGGGCACGCGTGTCGCCGAAGATGGCCAGCTGCTCGCCGGAGGGGCCGTCGCGGCCCCTGCCCTTCATCCCGGGCTTCGTCATGAAGAACATCAGCACGCCCCACTCCTCCTCCATGCCTCCCAGGGCGGCGCGGCGGCTTCCCGTCACGTAGCCCACGCAGTCGCTCGGCACGTCGAGGACGGTGCAATCGTCGCGGTCTTCCCAGCCGTCCACGTAGACGGGGCCCTCGAGCTGCTCGAATAACCATTTCATGTACTCCTTCGCTCTCCTGCGCACGACCTTGCTGCCAGAGAACAGTGCAATCTGCCCCACGTACTGCACGACCGCGCCCGACGAGCGCTCGAGCTTCTTCCGCGTCCCACCCTGCTTGCCGAGGGCGTAGGAGAGCTCGTCGTCCTGAAAGGTCATGGTGTCGGTGCCCCAGGTGCCAGTGTCGTCCTTGCCGCGGTCGCGGTCGATGACGTCTTCCTTGATGCTGGCGAAATATCCAGGCACCTTCGTCTCCACGGCGCTGAGCACGAGCAGCTCCGCCCCGCGCCTGCCGCGGACGGAGCCGAAGATTGCCAACTTCTCGTACTGCTTGTTCCTGCCCCCGCGGCTGCCGTCCACCTCGCAGAAGAACATGAGGGTGCACCACTGCTCCTCGATGCTGCGGAGGAAATTGCCCGCCCTTCCCGTCACGAAGCCCACGGCCTCCTGGGGGACCTGCAGCATGGTCAGGTCGCCGTCGTCATAGTCGTCGTGCACCACCACGGGGCCTGTGCGCTGTGCCATCACGCCCTCCGCGTACTTCTTGGCCCGGCGCCGCTGCAACTTCGAGCCGCGGAACTCGAGGATCAGGTCGCGCTCGAAGAGCTCCATCTCACACTCGGACACCCGGGCGATCTTCTCCTTCGTCTTGCCGCCCTTGCCGAGAATGAAGGCGGCGTCGTCATCCGTGATCTTCAGTGTATCCACGCCGTAGTCGTCCGGCTTCCTCTTCCTGCAGGAAGCCAGCACCGAATCGGGAAATCGGATCGGATCGGAACGCACATCGAATCGGGCCGCATCGGCAAGGGGTCGGAATCGAATCGAATCGGCCGCGCCAGGATGCACAGCAGCGCCGTTCAAGCATCGGACCACGTCGCATCGCCGAAATCTCGGAATCGAATCGGATCGGTCAGGCCGGGATCGACATCGGATCGGATCGACATGGGCCCCTCCTGTCGTCGTCGCGGCCGGCCGACCTGCTGCGGCTGCGGCTGCGGCTGCGGCTGCCCTTCCGGCTGGCCTTGCCCCTGCTTCTGCTGCGGCTGTCGTTGCGGGGCATGCCTGGCCTCTGATTGGTCAGGCTTTGGGAGCAGCAGGGTCACATGCGCCTGCCGCCTCGGCGAGTGCGCAGCGGGCGATGCCAAACTTCCGGGCGAAGCCCTTGGGCCCAAATCGTCGTGGGAGCGCTGTGCGTGAGTTTGGCAGCCTTGCTGTCCTGCCCTCTGCGGGCAGCCGCTGTGAGCAAGGCAGTGCGAGATGGAACAGGAACGTGTAGCTTGGGGGACAGCCTGTAGAATTGGCGTCGGGGCCCACCCCAGAACGGCACTGGCCGAAGTGCATTTCCCGTCTAGATGGGGTGCTCCCCTGTTTTACGGGCTTGCTCCTCCGCTATATTGGGCAATTCCCTGGTTTACGGTGTGGATGGTTTATTCCGCGGTTTTCCTAAATCTTCTCCGACTAGAATGTCACACGCGCCTAGGCTTCCGCCGCGGGACTTGCATCGCATCTGGCCAAATGTTTCAGGAGGGTTGAGGTGAAAGGAGGGTGATAAGTTGAGGCGGGTGAGGAGGAAAACGACGATGGGACATGAGGGCCGATGGGGAAACTGCACAGGGAAATCAGAGGGTGCTCCAGAATGGAGGAAGGGAAGGAGTTGGGGGGCACGGTCGGTTCGTGCGGAGCCGGCGTGCGCAAAAGTCTCTGACCCCGCGTCGATCGTTCAACCTTGAACTGATCGCGGCCTCGATCGCTCTAGATTGATTTCAAACGGGCCCTGTGGCGTCGCCGTGCTCCTTCAATGCTTCCGCGTCGCTCTATCATGCGGAATTCAGCATTGATCGCCTCCGACGGCGTCGCCAACGCGCCATCGCCGCACGGACCTACCGTAAAGGGGAAGGTCAGCGAGGACAACTCCCTCTCGCTTCTCGCACCTCTCCCTCCCTACAGTCGGGGCATTGACCTAAGGAACCCTAAACAAGGAACGAGGCCTCTTTTCTCCAGAAGTTGAACTTCGATTTCCCATCGAAAACCTAAGGAAAACGTGAGGCAAACTGTGCAACACTCAAGGAACACGGAGAAAAGAGTTCCTTCTTCAGCGCCCCGACTGAATCCTCACCTCGTCCCCTTCCGCGACGACCGACGTCCCACAAAGACCTCTGGAGAGCCTCTGGCCCACTCCGCAGGGCCGCGGCGCGCTTCGTGCGCCCACGTTCTGGCGCAGGCCAGGGCGCCGCCAGGAGAGGTTGGACGGCAAGCGCGGCGTCCACTGGCGCTGGAGGTTGGCGCCCACTGGCGCCCACTGGCGGTGGCTTCGCAGGAAGTTGGCCACTGGAGGTTGGCGCCCACTGGCGCTGGAAGTCAGCGCGGCGCCCACTGCCGCGATATGTCTGGAGGTTGGCGCCAACTGGCGCTGCCTTCGCGGGAGGCTGCAAGTACTTGGAGGCCAGGGAGGAGAAGAAAGCGGGGCCTTCCTCGCCTCTCACCATCCCCGGGTCGTGATCGGGAACGTCTCGGATACTTCTCGGGGTCTCGCGGAATGATTCTCGGGGGCCTCTTCGAAGCCTCTTCGGGGCCTGTGGGGGGCATCTCGGAGCTTCTTGGAGACCTCTCGCGAGCCTCTCGAGAGCGATTTGGAAGCCTTCGGGAGGGTCTTGGGGGCACGTTGGGAGCCGCACCTCTCAAGACAGCTCCCCAAGATTTCTTTTGGCTCCCACTTGGGGCTCTCTTGGGGCCATATTGGCTCCATCTTGGAGTCTTCTTGGGCCGTCTGCGGAATATCTTGGAGGCCACTGACGCCGTCGTGAGTTGTCGGATGCCCGAAGAAACGAGAACACTAAAATCTGCTCAACAACTTCGGAACACATCTTCTTTTGTGCGCTTTGGGGCCGCCGTGGAAGACTCTTGGGCCCTTCGTGCGCTGGCCGGGACCTCTCCAGGCTGTCTTGCGACCCCTCAAGGCCGTCGCGGAGGCTTTGCTTTGAGGCCCTCCGGGGGCCCTCGTGGGCCCAAACAGCACCAAGACGGTCAGAACTCACCCCTGGACCCCGTTGGGCGAAAGTGGGGTCCCGAAGGGGGCCAGACGGAGCCAAGACAACCACGAGGACCCAAGATGGCCTCAAGATGCTTCCAAGCTGTTTCAATATGCCTCGAACGCAACCCCAGATTGTCCCAAAACGGCCCCCGATGCAGCCTCAGGGGGCTCCCACGCCATTCATCGATCGTTTTTTGGATTCCCAGCCGTCGTGTGGTATTGGGTCCTCGTTTTGAAAAGACAACGCCCCGCGTCTCCCCCTCCTCCTCCTCCTCCTCCTCCTCCTCCCTGCGTTTCCCCCACCCAATACAGCGTTTCGTGGCCCCACCGGGAGCTCCACCGAAGGTCCCAACGGCGGAACTCGCATGCGGTACCTGCGCCAAGTGCAGCGTTTCGTGGCCCCATAGGGAACTCCACCGAAGGTCCCAATGGCAGAACTCGCATGTGGTTCCTGCGCCCAGTACAGCGGTGCGTGGCCCCATAAGGAGCTCCACCGAAGGTCCCAGAGGCGGAACTCGCATGCGGTTCCTGCGCCCAATGCAGCGTGTCGTGGCTCCATAGGGGGCTCCACGGAAGGTCCGAGCGGCGGAACTCGCATGCGGTTCCTGCATCCAATACACCGTTTCGTGGCCGCGTAAGGAGCTCCGCCGAAAATCACGGAGGCGGAA